CTGCCGCGCCCGGGCGAAGTGGCCGGGCGAAAGCCAAACGGGCGGAAGGCTGCACCGCAGAGTCGCCTGGGGTCAATGGCCGGCCCTGAAGGGTTGCCTCACCTCCCCCCTCCGCCCTTTTCCTGGCAGGTTTTTCCTGGGCCTTCCAGAGCAGCTTGATAAGGCAGAGGCTCGGGGGCGGCCGATCACAAAAGGGAAGAGGGGAGAAAGCCTGGTTGTGTTAGATGGAAAGAAACAGCGAAATGAATGTATACTTTAAACAAAAGGAAAAGAAACTAAGGCAAATAATATAAATGTGGGTATCCCCTCACACTGATTCTTTTACGGTAAGAAAGGGCTGCTGTTAAAAAGAAAAATGAACCGGCCCAGAAAAGTGGAAAGTTTAACTTCTGGATGGTTAAAAGGGGGAAATCGAGTGAATAAACAGAAGAAAGGCTCAGCCTGCATATTTACACAGGTATTGGATTATATTCAGTGTAGTTGCATAGAATTAGTTTATGCTAAGTGTGAGCCCCATTAAACTCAGTAGGATTTCTGTTTGAGCAGTGTAGGGTGTAGGGCTGCATAATATCAGGTGGATCATGTTTTGTTAGAGTAGCAATAGACAAAAGTTTAGTTGAAAAATAAGCACAAAGGAGGACAACTCACAATTTTCCCTATAACTTTTACTAACTAATTTGAACATAGTATAAGTGGCAGTGGCCAGGAAGAAGCAGTTCCATATACCTGAAGAATGGAAACTGGATACTGGGGCTTACATTTCTGTCAGTTTTTGTGTTAGAAGAGTCTGACTGGGTGTTCCCTAGGATCTGGCTACCATATTTAGGAATGGAAATTACTTTTTTTTCTAGTATACAGACTACTAACTCTGCTCTTTGTATACAGAAAATCCCTGGAGGTATTAACTGTGCTGACACCTTCCTCCATGTGCTTATGCTCCTTTTGGCAATCTTGAGTCCATTATATGGGTTTGGAGATAAGTAATGGAATGAATGTATTTATGTGTTTGAAAAAGATTGGGATTGACTTCCTGACTGTATAGCTGTTGGACCTACTCACAAATAGATGTGTGTAAGCTAATGCACAACAGAGGAAAAAGTATAGCTCAGTGATGAGGCATGTGTTTTGCATAAAGGAGATCCAGGTTTCAGGCCATGATATATTCAGTTAGATTTCAGATAGCAAACTGACAACATTCTCTGCCTCACCAGGGACCATCATTGGCAGGCAGAGTAATACTGGTGGGCTTGATCAATCATTTAAACTTCATATATTCTAGCCCATGCAAAGTGTTATTAACTGGCTTTCCTACACACACGTATTAGATATCTGCAGAACACTACTAGTTTTCAAAGAAAAGAACCAGCAGACTTTTACTTCACAAAACCTTCCCTTTCTAGTTCTCTGAAAGTATTTCATATTTTCCTCAGTACAGGGAAGTTAATTGCATGTGTGATGTCACTGTACTGCTGTGGTTGCATAAAACCTTGTAAGTGGTTGAGAATGCTAGGCACTCATTCTTGGTATAAAACACATTGCCTTGAAGCTAATCAGAAGTATATGGGTTCCATCATTATTCGATAGTGTTAAAAGAAAACGGCACATGACTTGTATAATAACTTTGAAAGGACCATTTCCTATGAAAGGAATCTAGTAAGCTAACATCTGCAATATTTTGCTTCACTTTGTAGTAGCCATAGGTGAATCACTTGCACAAATAAAAAGATGACTAAGTGAAATGGGGCAGAAAAAATATGCAAGCTCTACATAATCTCTGTAGGGGCTAACCTCACGTAGTTATTCTCCTGGACACTTCAGATCAAAGTAACTGGGTTGCTTTCATACTCCCTTTCTTCCACAAATTAATTCCAGATGGTTCAAAGTCTAAATACATACCCTTTATAATTGGCATAATAACTCCCATTTCTTTTCTCAGTTAAGGACTCTGTATTTTCAAGCTTTCTATTTTTAGAAACTTGTCCTGAGTTGAATAGTTTTAGTAGACCATAATGTGATTTAGGAATAAGTAGCATGAGTACCATATGTGTGTACATAGGTACTATTACTTTTTAACAGTGTGCCTGTGTCATTTTATAATATAATTCTCAGGGTGACTTATAAAATACTGAAATTATGATCTACTTTTAGAGTGTGAGGCTCACATGGCTAGGATGAGAAAAGCAAGATGAAGGTGACAGCCAAGAATAATGGCTGAATTCAGATCAGGGTAGGGTAGCAAGTCCTTGTATCCCTCCCTAACTCTCCAAAACCCCATAAAACTCTGCTTTATGTTATATATTGGGCTGCCGGAAGTTAAGTCAAAACCCACAAGCTACTGTGGTCAAGACAAAAAAGGCCAAGGGGAAGTTGTCTGTTCACATTATGAATATATTTTCATTATTCTGGTTCTATTTTTCAAAGAAAATTTGCTGACATTTCCAAGAGATTTTATCATTTATTATTAAACTTCTACCTTGCCTCAATCTAGCAACTCTCAGTAGCTCGCACAGTGTATTAACAAAATGTAAATACATTAAAGGTATGATTAAAACAACAATAACACGAGAAAACTCCCTAGCAAAAAGCCACACAAATAACAAAAAGGGGGTAAAAGATGGCAGCCCTGTGTAAAGTGCATTGCAGTAGTCCAGCCAGATGGTAATGAGAACATGAATTAGAGTGGCTGAGTCCTTCTGTACCAGGTAAGGTTACAGTTGGCTTTGTTAGTCAAGACAAAATTACAATGTGTCAGTATAATAGAATCTAAAATAAGAGAGAGGATGATGGGCTAAAGCCTAAAATTAAATTTATTTCAATCCTAACAAGGAAATCAAAGATACTAAACATGCATGAGCAACTATTCCATTCAGAGACTGGTAAAAATGAGCCAGAATAAACTAAAATCTGCATTCATATATAAGCAGCTTTTAAAAATTGTATATGCATGAATGAATTTGCTAATTTTTTTTTTTTAATGTTATCTTTCTGGGGTTAAAAGGAAGGTAAGCCACACATTTGCTAAGCTGTAATGCACTTTGGCCTTTGCTTGGCAAGATGTGTACATGTACTAGTTCAAAGCATTTCTGTTGTGTTAATGGTGAAAATATTAAAATATTAAAAATTAAACATTTAAGAACAAAAGCCTTTTTCAGACTTGAGTAATTTTGACCATATGCTCCAAATTTATCAAATTTTAATTTAGAAACAATTTAACTCATAAGTTACTTCAACTTTAACTTCTACTACTTATTTTAGGGAGAATATTTAAGATCTTCCATATAAAATTACTATATTTTAATTTTAGATGCTGGTTATAAAAATCCTTTCTGGGCTCTACGCTTGGTTGAGTCTTTTCAACTTTTGAATAAATTATTCTAATTTATGCATTCTTATACATTCATTAAAATAACTTTGCAAATAAGTGCCCCAAAGTTGTTGGCCAATATATTCAGATATATTGTGTAATTGTTTGTGATGTTTTTGTAACTAAAGAAGAAGTCCTGCATCCAAAATTTTTCTTTTAACTCACGGAAAAACTGAATTTGGTTCATCATATCCTAGAGTTGAAATGGATGTCTTGAATACCAGAAACCAACCCTTCATCTGAATGATTAAGCTTCTGTGACAGACTTCCAAGATTAATAGTATATTGTCCTATACAATAATAGCCACACCCAATTCCCTTTCCCCTATTTTAGATTACGGACAAGTTGCAACAAAACTCTTCCATTTGCATGTCAACTGTATTATAGAATTCTTAAATAGAAGTTTGGTCATTTGAGAATCAAATCCTCATGAGCAGTTCAGAATGCCTATACTGTACATCTAATTCTAGATTTAAAAAAATTCTTAGTTTACTCCAAAGCAAGTCCTTCTGCTATTGTCTGAGCTGTTTTCACAATGGGAAGCAACAGAATTACAGCACTACCCTCTTATAAGAGATTCGTGAGCACCGAGAGTTTAGATAACAGAGAGCTCAGTTCCATCACTTATTTTTCAGCTACCAGTGTCCCATCTCCATCTGGTTCTGTCCCTGGAGCGTCTGCCCCCTTTCGACCTCTCTTCAACGATTTTGGGCCCCCATCGATGGGCTACGTGCAGGTGAGCACATAAGGTTGAGGTGGGGTCTTACCAATTGATGGAAATAATGGGAGAAGTGCCCTTTGTTTTTGTTTTCTGCTGTTGATCTTACAGGCTATGAAGCCACCAGGTGCCCAAGGCTCCCAGAGCACATATACAGATTTGCTTTCTGTAATTGAAGAGATGGGCAAAGAGATACGACCTACATATGCAGGTAGCAAGAGTGCTATGGAACGGCTGAAGCGAGGTAGGAAATACCTTCATCATAGTATATGGGTGCATGTACAGTTACTCAGATTTGTCCTATCAGAGGCTAGGACTAGGTAAATTTCTCAAGTTCCATGTAAGTTCACATACATGTGGGTGGCTTTCCCAGAAGTTCTGGAGATTCTCAAATTTGATACTGCAGAATAAGTTACAGGTAGTCCCCAGGTTAAGAACACCAAATTTAAGGATGACCCATAGTTAAGAACAGAGCCTATTGTAGCAAAATTTGAGTAAAATACACAATGATTCAAGTTAAATACACAGTGGTTCAAGTTAATTACACAATACTACTTATACAATAA